CACTTCTCTAAATTTTCCCTTCCAGCCCGTCGTCCAGTTGCACGCTGAATAAAGCCTGGATGTTGGGCCTTTATGTTCTCTTTATCCAACGGCTTCCGTTATCGCTTCACTTTTTTTATTACACACTTTCGTGTGATGAACAACAGACAGAGTAAACCCCATAGTCAAAAGGACCTGCTGTTCAATGATGGAAACCGGTAACCTAGGCCCCGGTACTTGGAGTAGTGAACCACATAAGGCCCCGATGGGTCATGCGTGGTATTGAACCGGACGACAGCAAAACTGCCTACCACCAAAGTTGGATGACGGTGGCGGGGCTCGAATCCCAGACCACAGGGCCCAAGTATGCCTGTGACAGCAACTAAACCACTGTGTCACCACATATCACAACCACATATTCGTAAGGTACGTTTTGAGTGTTAGAATGCTTCGGATTTAGGGTTCCAAGGCCGAGTATGAATGGGGATCTAGGGTTTAACGTAAGCGACTGTTAGAGAGACAGTGATCTGGCTGACATTAGTTTCAACATCCCAATCTTCCCTTTATTCCTTCATCCAAATCAGTAGCTAAGACAACAACCAAAACCGCCGCAGGAAAGTGTGGAATAGACGGTGGACCAGCTACAGGTACTGCGATCAGCACTGAGAAAACATTTAGTCTATAAATTTAGATTACCATGTTGATAGAGAATACAGGTCTACGCTTCGGAGTTTTTAGTCCTTACTTAATAATTAGCCGTTTGCATTAAACTGAAATAACGTATCGGGATGCCAAAAACGGAGTGGTGTATTAATCATAATTTCTTATCATGGTATATTGATTTTCAAACTTGACTCACCGAGCGGGTTAATTCAAGGGAACAGTTTTGAAATACCTCCTGTGATTGGTGGCGGACACCAGAGTCCGACGTATCGGTACCATTGGGGCATGCTTGTGATAGACTGGAGCGAGTCTGTTTTGCATGAACCCCCCGAAGGACGTCAGACCACAGGCGTAAGGCTGCCAGGTAGGTATATAGACGCTGACGCTGATCGAATGTGAATGCCGGATGGAACGCGGCCAGCGTATATATCAATAAGATTTCCTCAATTGTTTTAAGCTCGCCCGATGATAAACAACCGGATCGAACAGATTCATCCTCACTTTCGTCAGAAGATATGCCATTGGACCACTTTGAGGAAAACATAGGATAGGAAGCCGAGCCACCCAACCTAGTCTGGTCCCGATTGTGTTGTAGAGCAGTGGCCATCATGGGTGCAGCATTGTCGGTCATAAGAGCCTCGAAGTAAGCATGGGCACTGACAGTATTTGCAGACCGCAGTAATGCAAGGCGAAGAATTAATTTCGATCGTAAAAGGGAATCAGTCGTGAGGACGTGAAACGACGACGGTAACGGGTTCATGCCCAGTCGCTTTAAGTCGAACTTCGAGGAATCACAAATGATTGTGCAACCCGCATGGTCCATAGGTGACGGAGACTTGAAAAGCAAGCTAAGGCAGTCTTCGCCTTTTGGGTCAATCACAGAATTAGACTCTTTATCAAGTTCCCTCAATTCATCGTAGTGAAGTCGGGCCAGCTCTTCGAGGCAGCTGCCGTAGAAACGCAGCTCAATAGGAGTGCATAACTGAAGAAGGCCACAGAAGAACTCAACCCTGTTGGGCAGTGGTAAGTCATGAAACCATTTGGAGACCTCACGGGGAGCAGCACGTATCCAACCTGAACGAGTCCTTGGTGTTACATGTATGTCATGATAACAAACCATACCGTACCTACAATGCAACAGTGAACCAACGGTCAATGAGGGTGAACAACAACAGATAAAACACGAAGAATGATAACTGATTGGATGGAACACAAAACGAACTGAACACAGCTAATTCGGAGAGCTGGACATTTTGCACTCCGAGACCCGAAGTATCACATAGTGCGGGTCGTGAAACCCTATAAGGGAGCAGGCGAACTACCGACGACGATGTGGGATGGAAATATGCGTCAGGTCGAGCAACAATTGCAGTGTTCCTTGACCTCAAAGGAGCAAAAGATTTAGTTGACTGCGAAGATCTTATGGGGTCGCTGCTTCGTAAAGGTATGCCGCGGTAAACCTACTGCGGTCGCTGTACCTGCATACTTCTGGTATCGT